ACGAAAGTAAACAGTAGCGTTTACTAAGAATCATTATCAACCCAACCAAAAAGTGCAGTACTACAAACCGCCTCTAGATGTCACTTTCTATTCAACAATGTATAAGTCCATTTCAACACAGCTCAGAAAAATAAATTAGCATTTGAAACGTAAAGCTAATCGTTGCTGACAACTGATTCAGCTTTCTATTATTTTGACTTCATTTAAGCCAACGTGCTTTTAAACGGTTGTTTCCATCAACTCGTAAAAACAAATTAAACGAAACCTTGAAAAAGCTGCAGTCGAGAAATCTTGAAGCTAGCTGGTTTTCAAAAATCTCTCAAGAAAGATGATTACTTGGAGTAAATCCCACTGAACCTGGTGAGACTTTACTTCTGAATAAACAGTATTATTAATTAAACTTATATCCCATCCTTTCTCCCAAAGGAGCCCAGAGCTGCAATCGGCAATGTAGGACATGCACTGGGTTGAGATAAGAGCAGCATAAATGAAGAAGCTTCTTTCAAGAATGAGCCAGCAAACTCACATCAAAAAAAGCATACAGCAAATGCAATAAAATGTGTATTTATATAGGACACAGTAATTTCCTGGTGAGAGAATAAAAGAATTTCCAGATGTCTAGCACAATTACAGGGCACTTTATTGTGAATACTGAATGTTATTTGATTACTAATCAGTGAATGTTTTATTGGACCAGCAATTTGTCACTACTCTAACAATGTAAGAAATTCTAGTTCTCTGTGCGTTGTCTGAACAATATAGCAGTCAGAAACTCCACTCGCGCAAACCATGGATTTATTCTTGCACTATTATACACATCACTGTGCAAGAGGACACACATGGGGAACAGTACCTTGAAAAAGCCCAAGAGGCTATCGTCATTTCATAGCTGTGGTCGAAGTTCAAGAGCTGAAAGCCTTTTAGCTCTCCTGAGCAACACAGGTGTGTCGTAACCACAGTGCAAGTCATGGGGCCTGAAATTTTCCTTCATTGTACTTCTCAAGAACAGTGAAAGCAAAAACCGATTGTAGCAGAGTTTGGTTTTGATGGCGCAGCTTCTTACACCAGGATGAAGTGTGCTTCCGCATTTTGTAAAGTTCTACTATGCCAACGCAGGTCGAACCTCAGTTTCCTTTTCTGTTTCTTAATTTGTAAACGGGCTTTCATGTTACACACAACTCTTCTTTATTATTTTTTTGTAAATAATTTTTATTAATTTTCAATTACTAAAATCCAGTAACGGCCACATTTTTTCAGTGTCAAATTACAATTCATATTCAAATATATATCAGTTATAAAGCCAACTGTACATTTTGTGTGACTTCCCATGTGCTGGGTTTCAGGGTGCAAAGTTTTTATTTCTTCCTGCTTCCGAGTCTTAATTAATCCAATTATATTCACTCCTGAGCTTAATCCCTTATCATCAGCTACAGAATTCTACACGCAACTCTTCTAGTGATGCAGGGAGGGGCCCCCATTTTAGCCAGGAAAAAAGCCTCAATGGGTTTAACTGTGGAACTGCAAAACAAAGGTCATACTCTACACACACATTTCTAGCTTGCTTAAGTGTTCTGTGTTAACCCAAATACTGTACATTTCTGAGCCAAGAAAGATCCGCTATAATATTACGAATTTGCCTCTTCTAACCTTTGGACCAATATATTACCTGAACTAGTATCTGCCTCACTAAACATCTTCTTGCCCCCCTCCATACACTTAAAAAAAAAAACCCATACCCATCCACTGAATATCCCCCCCCCTCATGTGTTGGCGTTAACTTCTTCAACCCCAGAGTTTTAACAACACTTCCAATTTTATGGTTGTCCAATGCCTTGGCCTAATTTGTGTCACATTTCATTCTAAAATCTATTTCACAAGAATCTCAGCTTTTGTTTTAAAATCTCAGCTTTTGCTTTTAAAAAAAAACAGTATATGCAAAATAAGGAAACATGGAAATGTGTTTGGAACCTTTTAAGTGTATTAACCTGAAACTTGCTCAAGGGGAATTAAGCAATACCATGTCCCATGGAAAAGGATGAAACATACATAAAGTAGGGATTGTGCATATATTTAGACATCAACAAATACTTGTACTTCCAAGATGTGCAAGTTGCAAGTCCCCTATCAGCTGAGGTGAGCAGCCCAGCCCTTAAAAACTCTGTTAATGAAAATATACTTCAAAGGCATATTTAATATTTGTCATCTTGCTTTAGATCTGCAGGCAGTGCTGTTTTCTTTCTTTTTTTTTTTAATTAATATTTATTAAGTTTTCAAAGAATAACAACAAAAATTTCCAAAAAAATTGAAAATACAAAAAGCAAAAACGATAAAGAAATAAAAAAGAAAAAAACCAACCATAAAGAAAAAAAGAAAAACAAAAGTATAAAATCATTTACGATCTCTATTAACTTCCTTTCTAGACTTCCTCCTCCTCCCCTCTCTTGTTTCTTAATTTTTAATTTTTACAGCAAATCCTTTCTGTTTTTTCATAACATTCTATCATTACATTTCCTTATTCTACTTTCCCTCTTGTCATATAAAAACTTTAAAACTCAAAGCTTATATTCAGTATTTACCAAATTCTTACATCATTACCTTTTTGCAAATCATTTACCAATCCTTACTTAAGCCATATAGTTTCATTCAACATCTTTCAAACATTTATGAACGTTCCCAATATTGAAAAATAGAAAAATAAAATAAGATAATAAGTCAGACACAATCCAGTCAACTTCCAGCGCCCCCTCCCCTGGACCCGGGATTGTCAGTCCTTTTAACCTCAATAGTCCGGCTCCTTAACCTGGTTGTCTCGTGTCCGAGGCCCTCAAATCTCTTTCTTGCCCCTTTCGCAGCTCTTCTTGATGTTTCCCTTTCAGTCGTGGGTACTCCAGCAGAAAGATACTTTTGACCCTTTGCAACAAGTCCATCCCATGCCCATTGTCCAAGCCAGACAGCAGATAATACCACTTCAAGTTTCCTTGAAACTTGGAGGCTCCGACTACTCCAATCCTCTGATGGCCCATCACCAGACTCGGAAAGTCCAGATAACCATATAAAGGGGGGTCAATCCATCCCCCATTTCCAAATCTAACCACATTTCATCTTTCCGAATCTGATTTATCCCAAGTTCATTTATCAAGTTCAAAGGCTGATCCTGCCGGTCCAAAGGTCCCTCCATCTCTGAAGCCTCCATCACTACAGCAGGTTCATATACTTGTAGATATTTTAACTGAGTTCCATTTACTTGCTGCTGTGCTCTGGTAACTTCCGTCATCAAGGTCGTCTCCTGACGCATCTGGTCCAGCTGGGCACTTAGTTTTGAAAAACCTTCCAGGAACATTTGTTCAAGCCTTTGTACAAGCATTGTCCTTCAGGGTCAAAGAAAATTCTTTCCCACGATTATAGTCCTTCACTTTTAAGCTCTCTGCGTTGCAGTTTCACTAAATCCCACTAGAGGGAAAACCTTTTTTTTTCCTTTTTTTTTTATAACGGAGAAAATCATCAGCAACAGTCTTTCTTTTCCAGATACACTTTATCCAAAGTTCCCCCTTCAAAATTCAAGAGGCAACAGTAGAGTCACAATGTTACCTTTCTTTTAACTATCTGTCGAGCTGGACAAGCTTCAAGACGTCAGTTCTGACAGCCCGCTCCTGGTTCAGGGCGGTGGAAAATTACTTTGTTTTAAACTCACTTCCGCAGGGTTATAAAGTCCAAAACAACCCCTTGGTCTCCTTCAGTAAAAGGGGGGGTTCAGAAATCTTAGGTGTTGAATTCTAGTTCTCTCAGAATTTAATTTTCAAGCTTTAGTATATTTTGTCTTTGCTTTCTTCACGTAACAAAAGAACGGAAGGTTGACTTCCTGCTTAGACCTTCTCATTCCAAGTCCCAATTAAATTCAATTTCAAGTCCAATTTATTTATTTATTCACCAGTCTTAAAAGTAATTCAGCTCTTCCAAGATCAGGTACTCACGGATAGATGTTTTAGATGCCAAATTGTCCCAGGAAAAAGGCAGCGCTCTCCGGAAACGGCAGTGCGGCTTTGCTGCACGAAAGAAGCAGTCGACTCACAGCACCACGCACCTCCCACTCCGGAGCCCGTTACCGGGCTCCTGTACAAGGGGAGAGAGCGCTCACGGTGCCCGCTGAGTCCCACGTCCACAGGCTTCATCCGCCTGTGGGTTTTAAGGGTCCCCGCTGCGCCGTAGCGGTAGGACCCAAGCTTCCGTGCAGCGGGTTCCCTTCAACTTGAAGGGAATTCCGCCATTTTCCGGAGGCGCCACCCGGAAGTCC